AAGAGGGCGGGTTGGTGCAAATCCATTCCGGGGTATTTGATCTTCTTCAAACGAGCAAACCAACATCCCTAGCACGAAGATCAGAATCACCATCAAGAAAAAAAAAAGGATATTTTTATAATTTTATGGGATTTTAAGAGCAATGTTTTTATTCTTTTTAACAACTGCTCCGGTACTGGTTTAGTTAGTTGCATTGCCATCCTCCCCTTCCTCCCCCTCTCCTCCCTGCTCCCTCCCTTCTCCCCCCTCCTTTCATGAACCCTCGTCCCTCCTTTTCCTAACCCCCTACCTCCGAACAATAATGAGGGTGCAATTCTCCTCTTGCCCTCTTTTTTGCTGCGTGAATTTCTTTTGTTGTGCACATGAACATGTGGCCGAACGGCTGGCAACAAGATTACAGAACTCTCTCTCTCTCCCTCTCTCTCTCCCTCTCTTGTGCTCATGCACACACCTGCAGGGCTGGTGTGAGTTAGTCTATCATTTTCTCGAGGGTATTGCGTACTTGTGACAAGGCAATGCATCCTTATATGTCAGTCGAATGCATCCTGGGCAGACTTTCGAGGTAGAACCTCCACAGCGGTTGGTGAAAGTTTGATGAAACAGTACAGGCCATGAAGTGGCAGTGGCGCCAGTACAATCACCGTCACCCCTTTTTTCTTGACTTGTGCCTAGCGGATAAGTACATGGCCTTACACTTCAAATGTGTGTCCAGGGGTCTTGGTCCTAGCGGGTAGATGGACACCAGCTGATACAAACGTCTCTTCAACTCCATCCCTTGTAAAAACAAGGGGCTTAGCCATCCCTTGTAAAAGCAAGGGGCTTAGCCGCACCACGCCAAATGGCAGCTTTTGTGTTGGCCACCCAACTCGATCAAGTATTTGCATTTGGCGAGTGTTTGGTGTTATGGCCGCATGCGCTCACCAATTTGCCAACCCAAAAACTGCACGCACATGCAAAACGTGTGTGGGTCCAGACGGGCAGGCGTGGCCCACCAAAATGGTGCCGCGCGAAGAGGACCCTCCACGACGAAAATGCTGCAGGCGGCTAAATCTAGGTAGTTGGTTGACTCAGCCAACGATCTTGGAATCCACTGTTCCTCGGGGTGTTGGTGGAAACTACAATTGGTGAGTATGTGCAGCTGCATGCCCCACCAGCACATTGGCATTTGGCACGTGATGCTGCTAGGGTGCAAGGCGCATCAAGTAAATAATTGTTAACTTCGGAAAGGTGTACGGCATCTCAAATATGTATAGTCATGCTTGAATATGCCCCCCAAATATCTTCCTCCTTAGCTGTTCCGACAACAGCGTCGCCAGAGCATGACACTGCGACGACAGCTTCAACAGAGAATATTCACGAGCATGTGCGGTGACACAGTGTCTGATGAGTTGTGTATGTCTTTGTGTGTGGGTAGCTGTCATCAGAGAATATTCCAGAGCATGTGCCGTGACACAGTGTCTGATGAGTTGTGTACGTCTTTGTGTGTGTGGGTGGGTATGTGTGTATTCCAGATGGAGTCGCACCTCGTGCAAAGATGAATCAGCAACGCTCACGGCGTTTCCGAGCTGCACAAGATGCCGCAGAAGCTGTAAGTTCTGACTAGAAGCTGTAGAAGATAACTCCTAACAGACTGGGCTCTAGAAGATAACACCTCACAGGCTGGTCTCCCCAAGATAACTAGTCAAAGGCTGGCCTCCCTGCTCTGTTCTAATAGATATGGGGTAAGAGTGCTAGTGCTCATATGGATGACAGATGACACTCTGCAATCCAGCATGTAGTTCTTAGACTGCCAGATACCCTGTTTGGCATTTCCATTTCGTCTTATTGATGATTGCTAACTGTCTTGTGTATTCTAAAACTGATTGGATGGAGTACAGCAGTAGCAGTTCTATTTGTTGCCCTGGCTCTATTCCGTTTGAGCTTATCTGGTTTCTTTTGAAGCTGTGTGACATCTCCCTTGCAAATACCAGAGGGAGAAGTGGAGAAGTGC